GGTGAAGAGATTGAGATTGTTAACAACTTCAGTTTGCTTGGCTCCATGGTCAAAACTCTCGGCACCAGCAACCAGGAAATAAAAAAAACATACTGCGATGGGAAAGTCTACTGTTAGGGACCTCTCCAGGGTACTGAAGAGCAATGTCACTCTGGAGACTAAGGTGTGTCTGATCACTTGTTATGCATTGGAGAGTTGGACAATGACTAGGGAGGATAGAAGGAGAATTGACGCCTTTGAGCTGTGGTGCTGGAGAAGAGTATTGAATATATCATGGACTGCCAAGAAAACAGATTCATTCTGGAGAGGGTTAAACTGGGCTGCTCCTTGGAGGCAAGGATTCTGGGGCTTCATCTGACTTGCAAGTGACTCGACGGCACATAACAACAGCAACAACATTCCTTTAGTAGCTCTTAAGCCTTGTACAAACTGATATTCCTCTGTCCCAGATTTCTTGACTGGAAACACTGGGATATTACAAGGGAATTGGCAAGATCTAATTAATCCCGATTTCCATGATGATCCCATGGACTGCCAAAAGAACAATCTTGTCTTGGAGAAGGTACAGCCAGAGTGCTTTTTGGAGGCAAAGTTGATAAAGCTTTGTCTCATATACTTTGGGCATGTTATTAGGAGAGGCTGTTCCTTGGCTATTCCGTGCTTAGAAAGGTGGAGGGTCGCCAAAAGAGAGGAAGACGCTTGAGGAGATGGATTGACACAGTGATTGTAGTAATGGCTCAAGTGTGTCACACATGATGAGGATGTCACAGGGTTCAGATCTGTTGGTCATAGGGTTGCTATGGGTCGTACTCAACAGCACCTGTTGTTGTTTGTTGTTAAATGCTATCGAGTCATTGACGACTCATAGCGACCCTACGAATGAAAGACCTGAACAACAGCACCTAATAACAATTAATCTGCATTTTCTAAATTTTTCAGTAATAGGAACCATACCTTCCAGGACTTCCTTTCTGAGAAGATACTGGTTCTGGCAAGGCAACTGGACCCCAGGCTTCAGTCAGACCTCAGTGGGGGCTACTCCTTTAGAGCTTCCCAGAGTTCTATCGGGCCACATGAGGAGGTTTACCTGTTTGTTGATTTCTTCAGGCCACTCCTGACATTCATCTGGAGCCTGAAATAACAGTTACCAGGTGTGTTCATAGGGAACTTCCATTTGCAGGCCCTGAGTCTCAGGAAGAAAAGTTATCTGAGAAGGTTCGAGAATAAATCCCAACTTAAGAGTGGGACTGGACAGTCAAACTTATATGGAAAACAGTGTGTCTCCCCCACACACACACACTCCCTCCAATAGACAATCTAGGAGCTTCAAGAAAAACTGGTCCTCAGATCTTCCTGAGACTCCAGTCATGGTCACTGACAGACGACATGATATGGTTAAAGGGGTATTCACTACTGAATAAGTAGATCTCATAACCACTAGAAAATTCCATTTGACCCCCTACCTACTGATCATTTCACCTGGGGTTCCTGGGGCATAATAAGGATGGTAGAGATAGATGTCAAGTTGAACTGGACTTCCAGGCACCTTTAGTCTTCTTCTGACCAGGTTCCCTGTTTGGCCATTTCTCTAGCTGGGATCAGACTTTTCTTTCTAGAGAATCCTCTAAGGCTCAGGCATTCATTCCTCAGTGTCCGTTGTTGTTGTCATTGCTATGTGCCATCGAGTTGCCTGCGACTGTACAACAACTCTGAAACCTGCTCTGTCCTGTGCCAATTCTATTGTCGCTGACACACCCACCCCCATTAACCCAATCACTGACTCAATCCATCTCATCAAGGGTCTTCCTCTCTCTTTTTTTTAATATTTTTTATTATTAATCTCAACAAAAATTTACAGAGACTTTGGATTTCCATTCATTCATTGTTGCACTTTTCTCCCTACCCACTCCTCCCCCCTCTATACACTCCCCTCTTGGAAAAGTAAAAGAAAAATTATTTCATTGTTTTACAATCCCTCCCCCCAGGTACATTCCACTATGCAGACTTCGCTCTGGACACCCGTCATGACAAAAATACCTAATCATATATCCCTTTTTAAAAAATAATTTTAATGAACATTTACAGAGAATTTGGATTTCCATTCATTCATTGCTGCACTTCTCTCCCCGCCCAGCCCTCTCCCCCCGCCCCCAGTTTGCTCCTCTCTTTCAAAAGTAAAAGAAAGACTCCCTTCCTTGTACACAATCCCCCCGCACCCCTCCCACTGCCCCAAGTGCATTCCACTATGCAACCTTAATTGTGGACTCTTGTGATAACCATAAAACCCTATCATACATCGCTTTTAAATTATTTAGTCCCTCATCTGTTTCAGTGCAGTATACACAATTTATCCAGTTTTCCTCAGTCTTACCCTCACCCTGATATCAGTCCCATTTTAGAGCAGTGGCACCATGCAATATTTGTCCTTTTGCAACTGAGATATTTCACTCAGCATAATGTCCTCCAGGCTCACCCATTTTTAATAATATTGCATGAGTTCCTTGTTTTTCAATGCAGCGTAGTATTCCATTGTGTGAATACACCACAGCTTCTCT